TTACTAATAATAATAATTGTATAATTAGTACAGACTCATTATATATATATATATATATATATATATAAATGCTTAAGAATTTATACAACACTTGTTAAAACATTTACTTAGTTTATATCACTCAAAGCTACTTTGTTTTTGATACTGGTGGCTACTTGGAATTTCCAAGAGCAATCAAAGTGCAAGTACAATGTACTCGTATGCAAATGTGGACATAGGTTGAAGCAAGTTGTCGCACTCACGTGAATAGACCATTCCAGAAATCCCTTTCCTATTGTAGTCATTATAGTCACGCATTGTAATAGCTATCCCTAAGTTTCGATAGATACTCTTATAGAGAGCAACGATTATTCTCGAGTACTTTATCGTATTTTAATACGATATTAATGTAATGGAAATATTAAACGATTAAATAAATAAAGCAGTTAAAGTTATCATCATTAAGCACATTTTAATATATCTTTCAAAGCGTTCTTGTTTCATTCTGCACTATCAGTAATTGTGACATTGATTAAAGCCTCGATTTATGTTTCGATGTTGCGTCGTTTGCAAATTATGACCGATAATTAATTTGCATGGTTAAAATTTCAAGTTGCATTGTTAAAATTTCTAATTGATAGCAGGCGAATCAGCAATTTGTAATTAAATTCCATTGTTAAATATAATTATGCTTTGTATATATTTAATACGAAAGAATATTTTATAGGCGTATTTGAACATTTGCGGAAAATTGTATCTTAATTTGGATTTTTTTAGTTTAAATTTTTTTTTGTAAATATTATGTCTTTTTTTCAACAATATAATTTTTGGCGTTTTAGTATTTTTAACTAATAATATTTAAAAAATTTATCAACAAATATACAATTTATTTTGGAAGACAATAATAATAATAATTAAATTAAGTTTCAATTATTTATACAAATGTTTATGCGTACTATTAAATAATTTTTCTTCTAAAACGTAAAATATTCTGTATTTTTAGGAGTGTACATAAATATTATATTATTTTTTACAAATTTTGTTATAATTAAGAAAAGAATTAGATATAGTATTTTCAGGAAAGATATAAATGATCTTCGCACGTTGCCAGTTTATGCAAGAACATAAAGAAAACGATCGCATATTTCGTGATGACATTTCGCGATGATAGGTCACCCGTATGTATAAAATATGTATATCATATATACACATTTTATATTATATATATAAAACTAAAATTTATGGTGCAATATTCATAAAGGCTTGCCCGAAAAGCAGAAGCGTTAAACCGCGTTTCACGCTTGCCAAGCGATATTCGCCAATATGGCGTAATTTATATTTAAAGAAAATACGCTGACCGGCATGTATAAGAATCGTGAAATTGTTCGGCACGAAACATCAATATAAATTTGTAATAACTCATTGTTCTTTTACGTCATAAAAAGTCAAACGACGCTGTATTAAATGTAAATTTCGACAGACTTGTTTTCGTTATCCATAATACATCTAACTACAGGTACATAACAGTTTCTCGTGGTATAATATCAATCTCGATCGAACGTATCGCACTAAGGATGTAATTAATCACGAATGTTTATCGCGTAAGGAACGAAGCATGGCAGGCCTTTCCGGAATAAACCATTTGAAGCAAGGAAGAGCGTACCTGGGATCAGGGGAAGGAACGTTGAACGGAGCACAGAAGAGGCGTGAGAAGCATTGGTGAGAGAAGAGAAAAAGAAAGAGGCTGGGGGAAAAACAAAATAAAAGAGGAAAACCGCTGGCAATTTTTCACTAGCTTTTTAAAGCGCGGCTTAGGTACTCGTGGAGCGAGTTTGAATCGATTTTTCTAGAGGGGGGAGGGGAGAGGGCCCATTTTTCTGCCGTCTTCTTGTGCCAAGCGGCGCAAACTGTACCTACCTACCTCCAGCTGTTTCGCTGCCGAACGCGGTTGTCGTTCGAAGGCCGAGTTTAGATTGGAATCTGAAATTTCGATACCTCGCTCGGCGGAGTCTCCTTTTTTTTCCCCTTATCGAGCAAATACTCGCGAAGTTTCGGTGCAAAAGTGGTGCATCTGCATGAGTCAAGAATAAATCAGGATGCGAAATCCGAATGGAGATTTCTTGCCGTTAGAGAAACGGATACGAAGATCTATGCTTCAAAAAGAGCGATTCTACCTTTACGATTTTTACGGATTGAGATTCTTAATTCGCATAAGATATAGAAAGATGATAAATTCTTGTTAATATAAATATTCATCTGGAGAAGTATATATATATATATATATATATATATATATATATATATGTAAAATAGACGGCCAGACAGTAATACCAAGTAGTTGCAACTGCACTTATTTCATCCATTTTTTTTTACGATATATCGTGGCGCGAAATCGCGATACTGTCCCTGACTTTTGTCACGTAAAATCACAGGGCGTAGCGTACTGGTCTGCAGATACAATCGATGTAGAGCACGAGCTTACTGACACTTCGCATGCTCGCAAAATGTAAGCTCAATATGTTCCTTTTGTTTTGCTCGTAATTTCCTTGTGAAATCGAAGTTCTGCCACTGATTATGCCTATTCTTAGACTACCACGAATCCTTGGTTTATGTATACTAATAATTTATTTTTATGAGTGAAGGTAATTTTCATTATCTGAATATTCGAGAGCATATTAATATTATGCCTATAAGCATGTTGTGTCTATTTAGCATAATAAAAATTTATTTAAAATTTTAAATTCGAATAAGTTATAAATTATTACATTTTCAAAATTTTATATTCAATTGCTGTCTAAAAGTGACAATATTTTAATTGAAGCGTTGAGAGAAAGAAAAAGAAACACTCGAGTATTCCATCTGTTAGCAATCGATTGCGCTGACTCGCAAAGGGTTAATTATGTTCTTTAAATGTTGTCTATGGGAATGCGTCAAATCAGCGTTGGTTCCTGCTGCATAGATGCACGTGGCTTAGCGTTACTGGTTTACCGATACAATCGATCAAGACTGCGGAGATTGACGCGACTTCACCTCCGCAGCTTGCAGCGACGCTCGACTTCGAAGGGTATCGGTGCTTGCGATATTATCGTCATGCATCTATCGACCGGCGAGTTTAACGGAGCGCAAGGTCGCAGGACTCGTGGTAGCTAGCTGCCGCGCGATCGCAGAGATATGCGTTATTATTGTTCGCGTCGGTGCATCGTGAAACGTCGGACGATGATGGAAACTCGTAAAACAGCTCAGGACGAGAGGGCGAGGTCGTTAAAAGTGTAATAAACTTGCGAAGCCGGTTGATAAAACGAAATATTCCGGATTTCCTTCTATTGCAATTTCTAGGGATTTGATTATGTCTATTTATTGTCGGCACTGACGTTTTCCAGCACGGTGGCTTTTCTTTAGTAAAGCCACCGTGGATTAATAAAAACTACGTATTTATAAATTGCATTTCCGAAAGCGTTAAGAATGTGAACGATATTTGCGACAGTATTCTGCTACTGCAATGAGTTCTTTAATATTGTACACACTTTTGCCCTTATATACATACATGAGTGGAACAAATACAGACATATTTAAACAATTTAAATATCCTGTACAGCGTAGAAGATTTATAGTATTTTTAACTGATATGTCTTGCAACATATAAAAAAGAGAAAAATGTATACAGAATGCTAAATGTATTTTTGACATTCAGTGTTGTTCAAACGTAATATTTTCTTCTCTGCACAAGTATAAGATAGTTTCTTAAATAATTTCTTTACACACTTAATGTGTAAATCTTATAAAATCTCATTAAACAATTAATTATGCATTTCTATTAATTAAATATAAAGGAAAGAAATGAGTAAACGCGTTAAATTTATCTTCAACTTTAAATAAAAAATTAAATTATATTTGTGCATTTTTAAAAAATTGTTTGTGATATTATGTTATGTTTTATGGTGACGTTATATTATCGCTCATATAACTCTAATAGAACGATAAGTCGTCTTTAATGAGCTAAATTAAGAGGACTTACGAGATCTCCCCGAAAGCTGAGAACGCTTCCCTTAAGGTATGTGTCTCGATCTCCGGGCTCAGGTCTCCAACAAATATGTGATAATGTTCTGAAACAAAAAAAGAAAATGGTTATTTATTTGAAAAATGAAACGATATGATATGATTGCTCGTGAGAGAATCGTAAATAACTATGATTATATTTGAATATTAATTTCTGCAATGAATATGTCATAAACTTTAATGGACGCAAAACAAGATATGAAATATTCATTTCGTTATACTTGGTTCAAATATACATATATGTACGTCTTTGTGATTAAGCTCCGCTATCAACAGTCCGACCAAAATATAGATAAAATATAGATAAAAATTCTATGACTTGATAAAAACAGAAATTAATGGGTTTCTGTAACGTTCATTTGAAAAAAATTATTGTATTTATCTCTAGACAAAAGTAAAAATAGCTTCAGAAAATCACGATGCGATTTTAATAAAATTGATTTATGTGTTATCACTTTGCAATCTTTACGTTATAATATTACAATATATTAAAGAAATAATATAATACGCTTAACTGTTCTGAGAATACCTCTTTATTAAATTATTAATGGACATTTTCTCCACTAACAGCGTCATGATTCAGTCTAAAATATCTGGCCTAATACAAAGAAAATAAAATATTAAAAGATTACGAGAGCGAAAATGTTATTTAGGTAATCGAAAATCTTTTATAATACATAAGATGCAACCTTTAAGATAGATATTTCAAAATAACTCAGCGGGGAATAAGGATTGATAAAGATATATTCGTTATAATTTAATTATTTACATGAATGCGAATCGGCTAGCGGTGATAAATAATTATTAATCTGTAACTGTTTTTGAACAAATGCTACACATTGTAGAACAAGTAAAACGGAGGATAACTATTAATAAGCAATTATTAATTACAACATTTTGTACGATCAATTACATTGCAAATACATTGCAAACTGAATAAATTTTGTGAATTTATGAAAACATAAACGATTAATTATAAATTAATATAAAATTTTTATGTATAAAACTAGCATGAAACAACATCGTTATTCATTGAAGATAAAAAAATGAGCATTTGTAATGCTTGGTTGCAGAATAATGTTACTTTAAATAAAGTTATAGAAACATTTATTATTTCAAAAGTGATGCATCAAATTTTCAATTTAATATATCATATGACGTACGTTAGAATTTGTTTCTCTATAACATTATAAGGATTATAAGTATTTTGATACAAAGATGCGTTTGTATTAAACATGTTATTATTATATGTTAACTCATTTGTTAATGCGCAACTGAAAATATGATCGCTTTGAGAATTATAGTAATTTTATTACGTGAAATTATATAGCATTATTAAAAAGCACAATAAATAATATTTACTAATACAGAAAATAAACCTAACGATTTGTTACAGGTTACTAATTTGTCATTTGCATATTTTTCAAAATCTCATTCTTACAAAATCTGATTTGTTTATTCTGTGCCACATTGCTGCATATTTTAAGGCATTTCATTTATTCGCTTGATACGTTAATTCGGCCATCTTATCGCATTAAATGCCAGTAATCTCTTTTAATCACACATTGTTGTTTTTTTCTCCCGTGAAAATCTATGCAATTTCACGATCAGAGCTAGTTAGATGAGTGCAACGAAACGGTGCGCGAAGTAAGCTTTTGGGGGGATAAATTATCGATTCGTATACGGTCGTGCGGTCGAGTGCACATCGTGGCGTTGCGGTACAGCCTTGCATCGGCTCGATAAATATGCTCCTCTTCTCTGGTCTCTCGTTTCACCTTTCTCCCATTTCACATTCTTTTT